CTTAATTTTATTTCCTGGCATTCCATGAATGCTTACTTGGTATATTTTCCCTCAGTGGCACATAATAATATTAGTGACCATTTATTTATAAGTACTACTTAACAAACATCATCCTATTTATTCATGAATTGCCACAAGTATCACTGCCTTCCACAAACAAAGTAACTGAGGCACAAAGAAGTCAAATAATTTATCCAGGGTCACAAAGTTAAGAGTGGCACATCTCTTACAGATGATCAAAAGGATGCCTTCAGTTCTAACAATACAAACGCAGGAGCACCCTCCCCCTGAGACACCTTAAGCCTTCAGAAAGCTTTCACAAACATCATTGCATTCTTGACCACAAGTTCTAAATGAGGTTTCACTAGGCCACTTTGTTAACATATAGACATACAAAGAGATTCCTTCACAGTTCTGCAGAATTAGAACTGGGACTAGAACTTGGCCCCCAACAGTTAGTCCTCTCCTCCAAATCAAGGTGACTCACAATAAATAAAGTCAGAACAAAACCCAAAATTACATAAACATCACTGAGGCCTGCTTAAAAAATATATTCATAAGCATTAATTTACTAGCACCAATATACACTGTTCATAAATGCTAAATGTATCTTAATGAAAATACCACTGACTTTACAGAGAGTAAAATAGATTACGGTGGGGATACTAAAAACAACTGTACACCAACCAATCAGATAACACATACTAACTGCCAAATCCCAGAAAAGACATAAACTACTGAAACTGACTGAAGAAAAAGTAGAAAATGTGAACAGATGCATTGCAAGTAAAGAAACAATTAGTAATTTAAAAACTTCTCAGAAAGAAAAAAGCCCACAGGGCTTCACTGGTGAATTCCACCAAATATTTAAAGAAGGATTAATACCAACTCTTCACAAAGCTTTTCAAGAAACAGAGGAAATACTTTCCAACTCCATGAGGCTTGTATTACCCTGACACAAAACCCAGAGAAGGACATCATATACAGACCAGTAGCTCTCATGAATACAGGCAAAAAATCTTTAACAAAATACTAGCAAATCAAACTCATCAACATATGAAAATGATTACACATTGTGACCAAGTGGGATTTATCGCAGGAATAAAGTAAGTTTAACACCCAAAACAGAACAGAATCTTTCAAGGACAAAATCAACTTGACCATCTCAGTAGATACAGAAATAGCACTTGACAAAATCCAAAACCCTTTCATGATTTAAAAAAAACTCAGCCAACCAGGAAGAGAAAGGAATCTCAAACTGATAAAGGCCATTTATGAAAAACCCACAACTACCACCATATTTAATGGGGAAAGGCTGAATGGTTTCTCCCTAAGACCAGAAATAAGATGAAGATGTTCATTCTCTTCATTTCTGGTTTAACATTGTGCTGGGGGATCTAGGGAGGCTAGCAGGCAAGAAAAGTAAGTAAAAGGCATCCAGGTTAGGGAGGGAGGGAGGAAGATAGAAAGAAAGAAAACTATCTCCACTTGCAGATGACATGATCTTGTATACAGAAAGCCTAAGGAATTCATTAAGTAACAATTAGAGTGAATAAACAAGGCCAGCAAAGTTGCAGGAAGTGAGATCAATACAGGGTTTGAATTGTATTTTTATACACTAGCAATGCATAATCAAAAAATAAAATCAGGAAACAATTCCACTTACAATATCACCAAAAAGAATAAAACATTTAGGAATAAATTTAACAAAATATAAAATCTTCACTCTGAAATCTATAAAACATAGTTAAAAGAAATCCAGCAAGACGTACATAAATGGAAAATACCTCATGATCAACAATTTAATATTACGATGGCAATGCCCCCAAATTGATCTACATGTTTTGCAATCCCTATAATTATTCCACCTGCCTTTTTTGAAAAAACTTACATGCTAATCCTAAAATTGATACAGAAATGCAAACAACACAGAATAATCAAAACAATCTTGAAAAAGATCTAAGTTAGAAGATTAATACCTCCTGATTTCAAAACTTACCTGAAAGCTACAGTATTCAATAGAGTGTTAGCCTCAAGAAAAGATATGTAGATCAATCAAGTAGAACTCAGAGTACAAATATAAATCCTTACATTTTGGTCATTGAGTTTTGACAAGGGTAGCAAGATAATTCAAGGGGGAAAGAAAAGTCTTTTCAATAAATAGTGCAAAAGACTAAACTTGGACTCCTTCCTTACACTATATGTAAATATTAACCCAAAATAGATCATAGACTTAAATGTAAGAATTAAAATTATGAAACTCATGAGATTCCACTTCACACCTATTAGGATGGCTATGATGAAAATGAGAGCGACAGTAAGAAGTGTTAACAGAGATGTGAAAAAAAAACAGAACCACCATACACTGCTGGTGGGAATATAAAATGATGGTTCAGCTGCTTTGGATATCCGTGTGGCAGTTCCTCAAAATGTTATACATGGAGTTACCATGTGATTCAGTAATTCCACTCCTATCTACTCAGGAGAAATAAATACATCCATTTACACACACACACAAAACTGTTCAGTAATGTTCACAGCAGCATTATCCATAACAGCCAAAAAAGTGGAAATGACTCAAATGCCCATCAATTGAAAAGTAAAATGTGGTATCCAGATAATGGGCCATTATTTGACAATAAAAAAGAATGAAATACTGGTATATGGTATGACACAGATGACTCTTGAAAACATTATGTGAAGTGAAAGAAGCCAGTCACAAAAGACCACATATAATTCCATTTATATGAAATGTCCAGAGTATGAAAATCCAGAGATGTAAAGTAGATTAGTGCTTTCCTAGGGCTGGAGGGTGGGAAGAAATGGGAAGTGACTGCTTATGCGTATGGGTTTCTTTTGGGGATGATGAAAATGTCACAAAATTGATTATAGTGATGGTTGCATAATTCGTGAATATACTAAACATACTGAATTGCATTCTTTAAATGGGTTAAATGTAATGTATGGTATATAAATTGTCTCATAAAGATGTAAACAAATAAAATAGAAATTGCTTAGCCCAATGCCAGACACACAGTGCACCATAGCTTTAGTTAACGGTTACTTGTAAGATGCATTGTCAGAGACACCATGTAGAGGCAGTAACTATGCCTTTTATAGATATACTTAACAGGTGTCACATTCAAAAACAGATATTGTCTCAAAATGGAAATTTGCAAATCGGGAGTGACTGGGCCCAATGCCAGAGATGGCTCACGGGGGATCATAAGCAGTAAGCGGTAAGGGCTAAAGCAGCCAAGAGGAGGGTACCTCTCACTAATGCGCCCCTTTGTCCCCTGCCAATTTGCAGGTGGTCCCTGGGGAGTCCACTGAGCAAGCTGGGGAACTGCCCTGGAAAGGACAGGCAACAACACCTCTAGGACCAGGTTTTAGGTGAATGTGTAAGGGAAGACATTTGTGGGGCGGGGGGTGGGGGGAGGGTGGGAGGAGGAGAGGATGTGAGGGAAAAGCAGGACAAAAAGGCAAAGAGAAGACAAGATGAGACTAACGGGCTGCTATGGTGGTAAAAAAGCAAAAAGCTAAAATGCACAATATATTAAAAAATGGCAACAGTATTCACTTCCTTCTTTGTACCCAAAAACACTCCTGGGAGGAAATAAGGGGCTAAGAAAGAGTTGTGAACTTTTTATATGGAAAAAAGAGTAAAACACTTCGTAAAAAATTCTTTAAAATATTCGTATCTTTCAGAGAGTCATACTGTACTCTAACTTATAGGAGTTCTGACTGTGAAATTCATAGGCTTTAAATTTTTGCAGCATTGCTTAGAAACGCAAGTAACAGACAACATTTATTGAGTGCTTACCATGTGCTGCTGAACTTATTTCCTAATCCTCATCCTGGTTCAATGACATGGATAATATTAAAAATCTCATGTTAAAGAAGAGGTAACTGAGGTACAAAGGTTAAGTAACTTGCTCAAAGATAGAAAATCTACAGGGGGCAGAGCTGAAATTTGAAATCAGGTACCTAATTTCAAAGTCTAGAAATTTACTATTATGCATACTTGCATGTCCCAAGTATACCATTAGTGGTTCATGCAATGATTTTAGGTGGAATAAACTGGACAGTCCATATTAGTATTTATCTATAATAAAGTATCAGTTTCACAATACTTCTATAAAGCTCTCTTTTGAAACAAATACATTAAAAAAAAAGATGTCAGTCAACTTTTAAAAAAAAAGCAGCATAACACCTGTAAGGGAATATGGAAAAATAAAAACACCCTGATTTTCTGAGGTGAAATTCTGAGTACCTTTAAAAAAAATCTTCCTAGAGTTCTAATGTTCCTAAAACGTTCGTGTTTTAAAAAAAGCATCTACAAAGTCTGTTTTAAACCCTCGAAACACATGTAATCATTCTATAAAGTATATTTTCCATTGGTTCATCCCACGAAATTTTAATATGCCCACCACTGAGCTCTCTCCCACTTCTGAGCGAGCCTCTTTCCTTGTCAAGAAAGTACATTCCTGACATTTATCAAATTTTTTTATTTCTTCATTTTATCCTATCTTACCCAGAAGCTCCAGAACCAAACAACTTAACTATTTATTCAAAGAAATTTTTCATAAGACAAAAGACCTGCAGGGAGCCTAGTAAGCATAGGCAACTAGCTTTAAAAAGGCAAAGGTTACTGTGCTCTTCCTTGAGGGTTCCTCTGTATCTGATAAGCTGCTTCACTCTGGCACCCAAATAAAGAAACTGCAATTGACAAAGAGGGCAGGACCCTGTTTCATCCTGGTCCCCAAAGGACCAAAGACCTAGCTCAGGTATTTCTGTTTCCCATGATGAGATACCTCTAATACTCTGGAGATAGTATCACAGGCAAACAAAATCATCTCTGGCTTTTCCATACAGTGAACAGGTTCAGTACTCTTAATGTTTTCATAGGTAAGTCCTCTTTCTGATGATGGCTCAGAGGCCACTTTACTTTTTGTCAACCTCCAGATGCCAGTCACTAGGCCAAGGTGGCCTTCACCCACCTGTGCATGTTCCCATTGGTGGTAAAGGACTGGCCACACACAGTGCACTTGTAAGGCCTCTCGCCAGAGTGCACCAGCATATGGCGGTCCAGGGAGCTGGCTGAGCTCAGCGACTTTCCGCAGATGCTGCACGAATGGTCTGCCCCTCCAGTGTCCGTGTTGTGCTGCAGAAAGCAATCACCGCAGTGGTCATGTCAGATGGGCTAAAACTCGGCGAGGCAAATTGAGAGCTTTATAATAAAACCCATAAAGCTTCTCAGTTTTTTTTCTGTTTCATTTTAAATATCTTCCCAAATGTCAAAATCTATCAGGAACACAGGCAAATACGCATTCTGTACGATTTTCTTCTATTCCCATGTTTCAGTTTTGAAGAGTACTTCTGCAAGGCTCAGAGAGAGCTGGAATCTTTGAATGTCTTTCTTGGAGACACATACATAGGTTAACTGACCACATATATCCACATGAACAGGAAGACTGTCAACTATGAAGCAAGCATGTGAAATATGGTCCTCACATTAAATCAGTACCCATTCCTCAAGTCTGATGACTCAGGCTTACTATCAGGGAAAGAGAACTGAAATCTGCACAGTTTAGAGAGTTCTGATGGCTAAAACATGTTAAGAAGGAATCTTTTTATCCAAACCCAAGTTACTAAATGATGTTGTTATTCAGTACCATGTTATAATTTTAGTAGTGTCACTCCTTCGCTGTTCCCGATTTATCAATACTTTGTCATGAATCAATCATAGCAGGCAAGGGAGAAGAAAAAAATCTCATTATAAAGGAGAAAAACCAAGAGATCCCAAATCAAGTCAATTCCCTGCGGCATGACATAAGGTTTCAACACTATAAAGAGCAGGGGTCTACACCTACAGTCTCACTGTACTGTAAGGGGATTTGGTTCATACTGACCAGTCATGTATGATGCAAAGTCTTCTGTTACATGGGGTCAGTTAATGAGATATTTGCTAAACTCTGAAAAGGGATTCTGTATTGATCTGGGACTTTGTCACAATAACATGGACACAAGAATTATTTCATAACCACCTGTCAAAATAATTAAAATATTAAATCTAAATTAAACACAGCCACAATTCATACACTGAGATCAAATCACCTTGCCCTCTCAATAAATGATTAAAACAAAAATATAAAAGCAGCAGCAAACCTGACGAATGTGCATAGTTAACTGATGCTGTGTAGTGCAAATCTTTTCACACAGGGGACAGTTATAGGAAGACTTCTCCTCCTTCGTTTCCTGAAAAGATATAATAAAAGGGAGAATCAATTTCACCTCAGAATAAACTGGTGCTGCCGTTTCTGTTACGAGCACCTGTGTCTCAAGAGCTGTAGCAACAAAAGAGCTGAGAGGATGGGCTCTGGAGCCGGTCCGGTCTGAGCTTGGGCAAGTCACCATCCCCCTGGCCCTCAGTTTCCTTATTGTAAAATGGTAAGAATAATAGCATCTACCACATCACCCTGTGATGTGGAGTAATTCAGTCAACACACGTAAAGCACAAGAACAGTGCCTTGCACAGGGTAAGTGCTCAATAAATATTAGTGTTCTTATTAGACAGATATCATTTAATTAATCATCAGTGATGGCGAAAAATGAAGCATCAAGTCATGGTAGAGCTAGAAAAGGAATCTCTTTCTCCCCAGTCTAGCCCAGGCTCCAGCCACTCTTTTCCACACAGGAGACCTAATGAAGTTCTCATGATAAAAACTGGCCCTCCCAAAGGTGGGCGGCCTCAGGGCCCAGTTACGTGCCCAATGGGCATCAGCACAACCCTTTCACTCCCTGTTAGCATCTGCTTGACAGTGCTCACAAGTTCTTAGTAAGTAAGAATCAGAATGCTGGCCTGTGGAAACTGTGATAGAGAATGACAATCCAAACTGAGGACTTCCACAGAGGTGACGAAAGAACCAGCTCACTATTTGGAAAAAGGGCTCATTTTACGTTTCCTCAAAACACATAGGACAGGTTTCCTTCAAGCAATATACTTTACCTTTTTAAGGAAAATGAAAGGCTCCTTCACTATCTATACAGCTTCTCTTTCAAATCCTTCATGGAGAGTTGTCATGGGCGTGCCTGCCATAGCCTCTTCACACACTAAAGCCCTAAGCTCCACAGGTCTCTGTCCTCATCCCCAAAATTAATGGGGTCAAAGCCTGGACACCTCTCCCCAGGAATATGGAACTAGACTAAGACCCGTGGGTTTTCAAAGATCAGTAGAATCAGCTAGGGAGCGTTCTGAACTACAGATTTCTAGATCAGATGCACAACAGGCTGAATCAGAATCACTGGGGTAAGGGGAGCTGAACCCCAGCAATCTGTTTCACAAGCTCCCAGGAGATGACGGTATGTGCCCAGGTTTGGGGATGAGTAAGATACTAAGTTCAGTGATCACCAGCACTTGAGCCGAAAGTTCATGGAGGGTTGGGGCCAGACCCAGAAGTGCGGTGAGCTCAAGCGACCCACGCAGCTAGGGAAGCTGTCTGTACTAATGGAATTGAGAGACCGCGCAGTCCCAGTTGGAGGGAGGGCTGGGCCTTTGGGCATCTTTCAATAGCCCTCTTTTTCCTTGTGTTCATTGGAATGAGTTTCTGTTGCTTGAAAATAATATCAATTATTGAACACTTACTATGTGCTAAACTCTGTACATACAAAAACGTCAGTTTTTTCACAACCACTAAGAGACAGCCACTATTATGAATCCTATTTTCTGGATGAGGAAACTGGGGTACAGAGAGGCAAGTAACCTGCTCCAAATCAGAGAACTGTTACACAGACTCAGAATTCAAACTCAGGTCAGTTGCTCAACAGCCCATGCTAAACCATGGTGCTATATAAATATGACCCAAAAGAGAGACGAACCCCAAGGCACAGAAAGGAAACACCCATGCGGTTGGCTACGAGAAATGATGAAAATAAAAGTCACCCTGAAGACTATAAAAACAAATGGCACCATAAACCAGATGGGGTGGAGCGAATGCATGATGATGTCTAGTACATAGCTGCCTACAGTTGTTCCCTCTCCCCCCGCTTCAAACACTAGCAAGCCTCTTTTTAAGCAATACAGTAGTGCCCCCTTCGCTGTTCATGGTTTCAGTTACCCATCGTCAACCACGATCCAAAAATATTAAATGGAAAATTCCAGAAATAGGCCATTCATACATTTTAAATTGCACGCCATTCTGAGTAGTGCGATGAAATCTCACGCCATCCGGCTGTCCGTCTGGGCTGTGAATCATCCCTTTGTCCAGCTTCTCCATGCTGTATACACATCTGTCACTTAGTAGCTATCTTGGTTATCAGATCAACTGTTGAGGTACCACGGTGCTTATGTTCAAGTAGCCCTTATTTTACTCTGTAATGGCCCCAAAGTGCAAGAATAGTGTGATCTGGCAATTCGATTGTGCCAAACAGAAGTCATAAAGTGCTTCCTTTAAGTGAAAAAGTTTGTATGTATAGAAAAAAGCATAGTATTGTATATATAGGGTGCAGCACTATCTGCGGTTTCAGGTATTCGCTGGGGGTCTTGGAAAGAATCCAGGTGGACAAAGGGCGGATTACTGGACAAACCTGTTTCTAGTCTGTGGCACTGGGTCTGAGGACTAGGTATGCTATACATTCTTTGACTCTCAAATTTTAAAAAATTTCAGATATGAATTCTAAGGAAGTTGATTAACCCAGAAACAGAAAACCTGCCAGAGTCACTGAGTCATCCACAGACTTCCACACCGCCCAGGGATATAATGTGTGTCTGGGGATAGGGTGGGGGGGCGTCATACCTTCACAGCCCAATTCTACTACAGTCAGAATGGGGCTAGCCAAGGATCACCAAAGAGAAAAACCAAAACCAAAAGCAGCAACGACAAAATGAGAGCACTCACTATAATAATGAGAAATGTCTCACAGCCAGGCCCAGGCCAAAACTCAGTCTTGGGTGTTTCTGTTGAATTATCAGATTAGCAACAGTTTATGTTAAAGATTTTTTTTTTTTAGAGGAATATTCATCGGTAGGATGTAAATAAACGTTAAAAAGCCAGGTCTCCAAGCGATCAGCTTCTGGAGGAGGCAAAATTGGAAAAAAAAAAAAAATCACCTTTTATTCCCCTCGAGATAGATGGCAGACACACTGAGCAGCTCATGGAGCTAACTGGCATTGCTTCCGGGGTTTATCATGAACTGGAACCCCAGCCTTCTCTGAGGCTGGCAATGGCACTCTGCAGACCATACTACTGGCCCACAAAACCCATGGTGGTCTGAGAGAAGGACGTCTGTGAACTCAGACTTAATTTTATTAACAAACCAAACAGAAGAGACAGCATTGTGATGCTGAAAGAAGCCCTACTGGAGAATTCTGAATCCAGTTATTGGGGCCGTGCTAGTGGAAAGGGCACACTTCCTGAGCTGACAGACAAAATTAGCAGCTAATGTGATAACTAACCATTCCATAATGAAACAATCTGGCACCCATGTCAGCGTCCGGCTGTGGCTAATCTGTCCTGGAACTCGTTTGCTAGCGCTCATGGGACTCCTCTCTGGGGCTCTCTCTCTCTCAGCCCTCCATGTCCACTCCCAGATGAGAATGAAGCACTCTCCCTCCTCTGACTGCATTCTGTTTTTGTTTGTTCTTCCAATGCACTGTCTTTCCCATGCTAGCTCTGGCCCAGACCTCCCTTTGAAAAACTAAGCTAGTGTCCCGAGGAACCCTGGATGGGCGGGAGGCAGGTGAAAAACAGCCCAGGCACACACCTGTACCATCTGCTTTCCACACTTGCAGTCACCCCCAATTAATATGCAGGGACAGAAGAGCTCTACCTACTGTCTCTGAACCACTGGGAAAGGCCTGCAGCCTGGATTTGTGCCACTTCTGCCTGAGCTGGGCTATTTAAAGAGGAGGTGATCCCTACCTACCACTTTCTCTTGGGAGAAGAGAGAAAGAAGAGGAGACAATGACAGTATCTATTTCATTCATCCCGAAATGCCTGACACCCTGGTGCAGTACCTGGCTGGAAGCAGGAGCTGGTATGTACTGTGAGTTGGGTGAATGGGTGGAGAGATGAACAAATAGATGGATGTATAGACAGTCATGTGAGAGTGGAAGTAAACCTTTTCTTCCCAGAGCTAGCACTCCTTCTTGACTCAGGCCACAGTCATACAGGCTGAGTATTTTCTCAGGGACCCACAGGAAGAGAAGCACGTGGAGACAAGGGAAAAAAGAGAGAAAGAGGTATCAATGCTCCAACCCTAAAACACTGTTTAACTCTGTCAAGTCTTCAGCCTTGAGAAAGGAGTGAAGCAAACAAACACTCCCATGCTGCTGGAGGGGTTTTAGGCTGGTACCTTTCCTGGATGGCAAGTTATATCAAAAGCCTTAATTAAGGTTTTACATCTAAGAATTTATAGAAAATCATCATAGATGTGCTCAGACAATTCTGTATAAGGGCAGTCATTGTAAGACTGTTAATAAAAAGAAATTAATTCCCAAATTAATTTACTTTCGTCTCCATCCCTGGTATCTAGACAAACTCTCAAGACTGCCAGCTTCCTGAGGGTTTGGTATAATCCCATTATATCAGTTAAACCAAAAACCAAATGTGGAGGAGTCAGTTCATATGATATGGATTCAGGGAAGAAATGAGAACTATTTACTCTCTACCTCACTCCTTGAGCTTCACAGAACATGTTGCTAACAGGACAGCAACCACTTTGCAAGTGCCCCCTTTGTATGGCAATTAAAAGATTCATCTCATTTCCCAATGGAGGAGACAGGGACTTTTACTACATCATTAATCCTCCCAATCCCTGCCCATTCATTTACTCTTTCCCTCTTCTCCTGATCTGATGCCCATTAAAGGTTCAAAAGGACTAAATTGTCTCTTAAGTGGAATTCTCTGGAGCCAAATTCTGTGCTTTGTCAAGCAAGGGTGGAAAGCTGGAGAGCAGCCCCAGCACAACCAGTTATTTGCTCCCCAATCTGAAGACACTTAAAAAAAAATAATCAAAGAGGTGGCTTTGAAAATCAAATTAACCATCTTTGTAAGTAAGGTAAGTAAGGAAACAAACCACATCACAGCAGAGGGCTAAGTTCTATGCCTTGGCCACCAAATGAAGAAAGTTGACATTTGAATCAAATCACAGGGCAGACAATCATGGTGCCTTCACCAATACTGACACCGCAGCACAGAAAATTTTTGCCATGAATCAAGGAAACTGAAATAAGCTATGAAAAGTTTGCACTTGAAAAATGATTACAACCTCTGGGTATGTCTGTTTACATCTCAATATGATGGGGACCCACCCCCCAAAAAACTGGAATTATCTTCTGCAGGGTAGGCCCCTTGTAAGTACAGGCTTCTCCCACTGGGTGAGTGTCCTAGGAGCCCATCTGTGTCAGCGCACCAGTGGGCATTCTGAGAGGCTGCGTTCGGCTTCAGTGGGTTTTTTTGGAAGACTCTTTCAATGTGTGCGCCCATTTCATGATGGGTGATTTACAAGTGCATCTGCCCACACCGTGCTGAGTGTTCAGTAGTTTTTGACCAAACAGGCATGACCCCCATGGCCTACCCTCCCTATTCACCCAATCTCATCCCAAGTAACTTTTTTTTGTTGTTTCCCCAGATGAAAAAGTCCTCAAAGGGAAATGTTTTGACGATGTGGAAGAGGTGAAACAAGTAAGGGCAGAGCACTGAAAGACATCAAAGTTGACAAGTTCAAAAACTGTTCTGAGCAGTGGAAAAGAAATCTCAATAGGTGTATTGCATCAAATGAAGAGTACCCTGAAGGTGAATGAAGTTTAAACATATAAGAATAAATACAGTTTTTTATAAATAAATTCCAGGTTTTTTGGGGGGTCCCCTCTCATACACCCAAGATTTTGTCTTAGAAAACTGAGGCTCAATGAAACATCCTTTTCCCAACGTTCTCAGAGACTGAAGCCACCAGATATCACCACCTAGCACACGAAGCTTACCTGGTTCCTTCGGCCAATCCGATTTGGTCCTGGAGGCTTCATGGGGGACTTGATGCTCTGAGGGCTCCCGCCATTCTCAGCGACCTTCCCTACACTCATTACCGCTGACATCATGGTGTTGATGGAAGACAAGTCTGAACCTTCCAAGCCAATGGGCGAACTTGACGTCATTGGGACAAGGGTTAAGCGTCTAAGAAGCCTCTGCCATAGAACTGAAAATCGGAAATTGCTGATGTGATCACTGGGAAGGTTAGGCTCCTGTCAGAGGCAGTGGCACTGGCCAAGGCTAGCACACTGAAATTAGGCCAAAACGCCGAACGCCCTCTGTCTTTGGTTCAAGCCAACACTCACAACCAGAATGGCCTAAGCTCTCATCTAAATGAAGTGTCATCACACCAAAGAATAATCTTGCTCTTTTCTTTCTAAGCAGGTGCCACTGACACAACTCCCAAAGCCACCTGAGGCAGGTCTCTTGGCCTTTCCTAATCTTTTACTAGGCAGAATGGCAAAAAGGCTGAGCCAACAATTAGAAAGCCCAGGGTGCTGCCATTTGGCCAGCACCCTCCTAGTAACCTAACTCATTTACTACTACAGGAATGTTGCAGACCTGACCACTGAGAATCATCAGGTTTCACTTAACTCCATTGCTTGCAATCCAGTGATTTCAATAGGGAGCCCAAATTGTGTAAGACAGTTGAGATGTCAACCCTATCAAGATTATAACCAAATTTCAAAGCAACATAAAAATGACTGCTTCTTAAAATATACAAATAGGTAATATACCTATACCCCAGAAAATGGACAGAAGAAAACCCAGCCCCCACTGCCAATTACCTCCATTTTCTGCCCCAACTGATACACTATGAGACTTTGCCTTGCTATAGCTATCATCCACGTGGAGTAGGAAATGAGTCTGTGTTTCACTTCTTTTTTTCTTGTCTTGGTATCACTCGTTGACACTGGAAGGGAAGCAAAGGCAGAAAGAGTCAGTGCATATCTTTTCACTTAGTGAAGAAAAAAACGGAAACCATGTATTTCCTATAATCTCAGATCACAACATTCATTAACACAGGCAGTACAAATAAGAGGTGATTTCTAAGTCTTTTTCTCCAAAACCATATTTCAGGGTTGCTTTCAACCTTCACTGATGTTCCCTATGGTGCTGCCACCCTCACTCCCAATAGCCAAAACGATTTTGTGGTATTTCATTTTCGGAAGCGTATGTATCACATTGCCTTTCATACTCTACCCGACACCCCATAAGCGCTCTCAGACTCTGACTTGACCCACCTCCCACCTCTACCTAAAACTGACCAGAAACAAGGCAGCCGAGGAATTCAGTGAAGGCTCACCGTCAGACCAGACCTAAAGGAAACCAGGTAATGCGAAAAGAATGATCAAAGGGAACACTGCGGCCCATGGCCACATCAAAACCTACCTCTTCAGCCCTTCCCTAGTTATATTCCTTGCCAGCAGAAGTATGATGGTTAGAGGCATGACCAGTAACTATAAGTCTATAGGTCAAGGATTTCCTTCATTTTATCTGGGAAGATATTTTATAGCCGAAGCCCTGCCAATAAGCCACACACCCGTTATCCCGCAGTGTGCATCGGTGAATCTGGCAAGTCCACAACTGCAGTCACAGGTCAAGCTCATTAACTCATTCAGCACAGTGAATGCTTAGGAAGAACAGCAGAAAGAACATGATTTCTAGTGGCTTCCTCCTCCATCTTCAGGCAACAAGACCTAGGATAGGGCAAGTGGTAACACCAGCAGCGGCTACAAGAGTGTGCAGCACCAGAGCAGGGAAGGTCTGAGAATATAACTTCATTAAGTGGTGTTGCCATCAGCTCAGAAGTCTCAGGTTAAAATTCTACCAGGAAAGCTGCAGAGGATCTCAGGGACAGCATTTTTCTTGTCACCAGACAAAATGTACTTTCTTATTAATAGACATTTCGAAGATATGAACCTAATGGTTTTCTAAATGGTAGTTGAGAGGACTAACTCCAGAAACATACTCCTTAAGACAACTGATTCAGCCCCATCCCTCACATGCTTCCTCATAAAGGAAAGTTATGATCAAAATTAAGCAAAAACCGTTAAGTGTCTTCCCATGAAGTTTCCCCATGCTAGAAGACCATTTAAACTTATTAAAGATTGTGCTTCCAACTTTCCATTTTTAACTGTCTTTGAAAGTTTATTTGGGAGATGTCTCTTTTAAAGAGACCATGTGACTCAAGTGCACACATGTAAGTACACACACACACACCTCATTTCTTTATTAATGCAGTTCTAACAAAAGTATCATCAGTCCCCTCGTATTGCTGTGATCAATCAGCATGTAATTATTTATGTGATTCAAATAAGTGGGTACCTTCAATCCCCAAATCATCTTTATTCTTTAAATATACTTCCCCTATAGTTTTGATGTATATCAAATTATAAAATAACTGACTAGAAATTTTCATTATGACAATTACATCAGTAAAAGGAAAATTAACCTTTCTACCAATTTAGATTAGGAGTTTAGAAGATGATCTTGTTTTTTGTCCTATTACTCTACTTAGGAAAGAAAAATGAGGCAGAGTTCGCTCAAATCTGAAAAGAGGTGAGAGTAAACACCTTTAAAGCTAAATATAAAACTTTAAGTTAAAATAAAAAATATTTTAATTCTACCATTATGTAGGGAAAGAAAGTAAAGAGGAGCAAAATAGTCAATATGAAATTAACAAAAATATACCCAGCAAGCAGAGCCAAATTGCTGGTAAAAATTTTTGTCACAGTCACTATAACATCAAAGACACATTCTTGCAAACTTCTGAAGTGTCTTAAATACACAATACCTAGCAATAGTCACAACAATAGCAATAGCTAATCTACATAAGGGCTGAAAAGTCACAAGGGCTTGGCCCAACTGGAAAAGGAAAAGTCATATATACTTATTTCCCATTTTGTCCAGACAAGACACTTTCTAAACTTGTTTCCTCCTTTGGGATAGAGTGTGACATTTCCCATTGATGACGCCAAGATCACCGACATTTGCTTCCTTCTCCTAGTTTAAAGGTAAGTAAATAGCAATTTTTTAAAAAATAGAGACTTCTCATCTCTGTTCTGAAAATGCAATTAACAGAACAAAACTCACGACTACACTGGTTTGAAAAGAGGAGACATCGTACACATCCCTGAAGAGCTGTTTCGGCAGCAACCCAAACTAGCCCCTTGGAGCTATTGCAAGATTTTACGCCAGTTCACTCTCATACTTGAATTCCCCACTGGGATGATGGTGATGGTGCAGGGAAGAAGGGAAAGAACCCGGTGTGAAACACAATGGAGTGTGCATTGTTCCATGTTGGGGAAACAACTACCCTAACACTGAGCTCATCTCTGTGCTAATTTAACCAGAGGCCAGTTGGCCAGTATTAGTCAATTCTACCTACCGGACTCCTGACTATATTGGAGTAAGAACTCAAACTAATTAACCTAAAGTTACTGATGCTCAATCGCAGGGAATGAAAGGTAAGTTTAAAGTTTAAGGTACATTTACAAGGCACATTTTTCTTTATGGATATTTATATAGTTGTAATATTTTTTATTCTCTTCTTTGCCTCATTGCTTCTCCCTGACATCATCTTGCACATCAGCCCCACCACTGCAAATAATACTAAATAAAATAAAAATAAAAATCACTGGCTCCATTCTAATAAAATTTCCTCCAATTGGATCAGAGAGGACTGGGAACCCAGATGAAATTCCCAAATAACAGATATGAAAAGAAATCATCATCTTCACTGACACGGCCCATGTACTGGCCTGGTATTCCAGTTTTTAATACACAGTCTGAATTTGGGGGTGGGGAGGAAGAAGCAGGAAATGGGGTTGTCTGAAGTGTTGCTTTTCTTTTGAGACAAAACACTAGGCACCTTTCTGAGATTTCTCATCCCACACCTTAGGTCCAATAGGTCAAGATGAACTAGCAATTCTGTTACAATTTCACCATGGTTTTGCATCTGAGCCTCTGGGGACCTGGAGAAGAGGGAGGGCAATGCAAACGCAACATAGGGAGGGAGAGAGGCAGAAAGGAAGACTCAACATTCAAAGTTATTGTGACTCAAGGAAAGTCAATAAAGTTTAACCGACCTTTTTTTTTTTTTTTTTTTGGGTCTTATCACGCTGGCCCTCCTTACTGAGGAGCTGGTGCTGGCTGGGCCCAAATGTGGGTAGGGTCACACCTCAAAGCCACCACCTCTGGAGCAAAGCTGAAGCAACCTATAAAAATGAGAAAAGGTGACACATTGTGAGGGAGTCAACACCAAAAATGATCCCACCTCTGTATTTCTCCACTAATTACCACAAAGAGGCACAAATTAAGAACAACAAAACATTTCCCAGCCTCCTGTCTGCATGTCATAAGCAAGCTTTCAGCTCCTAGGCTGATTTCACCCAGTGGTCTGTTAGCTTCTGAGCAAGAGCAACAGCAACGGGCATCAAGTGTGCCTCGGACAGCCAGGAACTCCCAAAGCATGCTCCAACAATGCCAAGGGCAGTATCACCTCCGAATGGCTTGGACCTCTGGCTCCAGGTGGAGCTTCGAGCACCTTAATGACACGTTAATGCTGACAGATGAAGGGCAAGACATCATTAAATACTATCAGAAACAGAGAGGAAAAAAGAGCCGAAGTGAGAAAGTATGAAACTAAATAGCCCTTCAATGTAAAGGAGACTTATTATATCTTTTCTTGAGTGATGGGAGAATTGTCCATAATAGTTCAAATAGGACCAAATGCATTATTTTTTCTTTTCTGTAGAGAAGATGCAGAAAACTACTCCAATTACATGCACCCTTCAAGTGCCTGAGACCGTCTATTCTGGATGCCAAGGGCATCAAATGCCTGGCTGGGGAGAAAGCCATGCCTGGCCCTCCACAATGTAAGAGAAAACTGGGACGCAGCATTTCCCAGAGCGACAGCGTTTGGCCACACTCTCTAGGTCTATGGAAACAGCATCCCATAGCCAAACTGAAGAGCAGAGAACTGGGAAGTAAAAACTAAAGAAGTAAAATGGGCTGCCACACAGACAAAATCTGTTGAGAAAACAAACCTGTTGACATGTTTTCTCATGTTTATTCCCTTTTGGAAAGTTGTAAGAAGCTGCCCAATCATGTGACATGCTGGGTGACATGCCTCTGTCTGCACGACCACCTAAGGCAGCAGACCTCTGCCAGGCCTGCCTGCAGTGGGGCTGGGGGGCGAGTGGGGAAGCCTCCCCAGCTGTTTCTGTTAGAAGCAGCTCCTCAGTGGTTTCTGACACTGAACAGCTTCTCTCGCTTCACACCTCACTGCTTCAAGGCGTCATCTTTTCTTTTTGGGCCTTTCACTTTTGAAAAGGTCTCTGGATTTTGAACAAGGTGTCATATTTTGCAGTGTATAATGCGCTTCCGTGTATACTGCGCACCCACGTTTTTTGGCTTCCACTTTCCAGAAAAAAAATTTCCTTTTAATTTTTTAATTCAATTTTTTATTCATTTATATTTAGAAACAAAACCAATTACCATATTCCAGGGTATTATTTTGCATACGGGTATCACTGTTCTCTAGAGTTACACTTTTAACGCATAAGCATAAATATACGGATTAAAAACATTTATACAGATACAGAATATACCCAAGTATAATGCGCATCCTTATTTTTCCCCTAAAAAATCTGGGCAAACAGTGTGCACTATACACAGCAAAATGTGGTATCAAGGAACAAGGAATGACTGATAGGGACAGCCCCTGACTGGGGCAAGGATCTGATGAAAGTGATGGACCCTCCCACCAAAATAGGCAGTCTCTCTATCTAACATTTTCTTTGAGTATTGGGGGGGCCAGGGACCCCAAAAACGCATCCTGGTTGTACTTGATATATAATCCATGTTGCTTTAAACTATGAATAGAGTCAATTTTAATGAAATTCCTATGAGGTTTCAGAAATATGGGAACAAAACATCCTCTTAGATAATCCCCAGCCATCTAAACTTAAAGATGTCTAAGGCAAAACAAAACATTGTTTAAAAAAAAAAAAAGCAGGGTTTCCCTGTTGTTATTCGTTTTTTAATTAATGACATGGTTTATTAGGAATAAATAAAGTCTAGAGAGGAACAGTTCCATGCTTTCCTCTAGAAACCTCCAAGATCTCCAAATAAGTGAACTATAGTTCTATATGTAAGTAATGAAAACACCTCACAGAGACAAGTCTCTGAAATTTTCAGAATGTAATAACCAAGAGTCTCAAAATGTGGACACACTCTCTCCCCTCATTTAAAAAAGATACTTTAAAAAATCCAAGTAACCTCAGTACACATGGGGAAACAAGGGGAGGAGAGAGCCAACCTGACAGACTTGACTCTGAAACTTCCATCCTCTGATCTTGGATGTAAATGATTTGAATATTGAGAATGTCTTGCAAGTAAGCTCAGTAACAAGAGTCGCTACCCTGTTTATTCTGGGTTCCACCAGGCCGGAAGGATTCACAGAACTCAAGAGTGGAAAAGTACAGGACAGCTCTTGGAATAAAACACAAGATACCCCTTACTTCTATCAACACTACCTCAAGAGGAAAGGGGAAAAACGGGGGCAGGCGGGGGGAAGCCCGGTGACAGAGCCTGTGCCCTAGAAGAGGAC